TTATATGGTCTGAAAGTGTATTTACAAATATTACTGACTTAAAGAAAATTACTTAGTTTATACCTAGAGAACATGAAGTTGTTTTAAATTTAAAACACAGTTTACTTCCAATTGCATCAAATCTAGTCTTTTCAAGTTAATCAATTTAATATTTTGTAAAAGACTGTCTCTCAAGTGATGCAGTATTTTAAACTACTTTGGTTATAATTATTTAAATACTTTCACAAATCTTTATATTGTATGAAGAACCAGAGGCTAGTGCTTAAACCAATAGATGAGTCAAAGAAAATTGAGCATTTAGCCTGAAAAGTAGTATAGATTATACACAGAACTCGTTTGTTTATTTTTGAGTAAAGATCTGGCTTCTATAATTCATTGCACAATTCTAAACAATAGCTCATTCACCTTCCAACTCCAAATAAAAAGTGCAGACAACATTCCATTAACTAAGAAATTTTCATCCACATACTAAGCTTAATTTAAAAATTGTCTCATTAAACTGATGTTATAAATATGCCATTCTTATTACATGTTTAAAATGTTTTATTCAAGTATAAGAATAAATGACTTTATAATCTTTTAGTGTGGTTGCAGTGATGGTAAGAGTTGTACATGGAAAATATTTTTAGTTTTAGAGAAAAAAAGGATTATGAACAAAAGCATAAAAAGTTAAATTTAAATAAAGCACCGGTTCAAAATGAGTTTCACAAAATTCTGTTTTGGAGTTGGTCATTGTAATTTAAGAGTCAATTTTCTTGTGGTTATAATATTTTAAATTATGTGTAGCAATTTATAAATAAAGTTGAGTCAGAGAAGAAAAGAATTAAAGTTAGGTTTAGGTATATATGGTCTTATATCTGCCATAGAAAATGTTTCATTAAATTTTCATAAAATTATTAAAAATACTTCCTTTTTGTAATTAAGGAAACTGAATCACAGAAAATTATCTAGACTGTTCTATTTTTTGCAGCCAATATTAAGTCCTAAATGTAGTTGTTTCCAAAGCTTGCATTCTGTACATTTCTCCAGGCTGCAAAGTACATGTTAGTGTATAAAAATGGCAACTAATGAAATACCCCAAATGCACTGAGATCTGAGTTCCTGTGTCAATGAACTAATTTTTTTCTTATTTTTTTTAACCAAAGATGTAGTTTTCTATTTTTTTTTCAGTTATTTAACAGAATTATCGAGATTTTATTTTGTGCCCATTATCTTTCTAGGCAATATTTTTAGAATGTCACAAGATGGGAGGAGTGGGTGAGGGTGTGACTTGTGTAATCAGGAACTGATACTTGAGCTAATACCTGAATAACATAAAGTTATATTTTACATGTCCCCACTTTTATCTAGCTTGTTTGAAAACATGGTGGTAAGAATATCAGAAGAAGGAATTGCAATATAAAGATATTAAAGTAGAACAAGTTTGGATACTGTGTGAGAGAAAAACAATAGAAGTCATTGTGGTTGGATTCCAGTAAATTTAGAGACTCTTAAAAGTTCATATTCTGCCATGATATTCTCCATTCCTCTAAATGGTCTGTTCTACAAATTCCTCTCTTTCTCGTTATAGGTAATTTCAATTTCTATTTTCACAGAGACTTTAATATCACCTAAATGATTTGAATAAAACAATTTGATTTAACCGTGTCAGGTTAACATGTGACTAGATTGTAGTGACTCAATCTTTACAAGAACACTATATATTATATAAAGATATTTATGAATTCAAATTTTACTATAATTCCAAAAGTTTCAAGAAATTCAGAGATCAGAAATTTTAAATAATATAACAAAAATATTTCGAGAGAGGAAGACCTCTTAAATTTAGTATCCCTTTATCAGTCTCCCTTTTACATTCTGTTTCTACTGACACATTGGGATGAACTTAGATTTTATTGCAAGAGAGAAATAAAACTGTGTTAGTATTATACTTTGCTCAATGTTTTATCACAAGAGTAATTTAAACTGTTAAACCATAGGTGCTTAATTAATCAAAAATGGATATTAGGATTCTCAAATCTACTCCTCTTATTAAGTAAATTATCTGTTTTCCAAAGTAGGCACCTGGAATTGTCTTTCATTTCTTCCTCTTCTTCTGTATCTACCCAATACCAGCTTCCATTGTTTGTACGCTATCAGTATCTGCCTAAATTGTTTAAACTTTCCATGCATATAGCTACTGTCTTAATTATGTCTTTTCTCTCTCTTCGTTTCATTTGAAATAGTATTGTATTTTAAAAATTGAGACCCTTCTGGTCAACATTTGTCTGCTTTCTACTTTAATATCAATCCCACATTCTTTTTTGTTTCCTAAGGAATGAATTTGATTTTATCACTACATTACTAAAAGTTCTGTACTTTTGATAAGTTCCATACTTACTAGCACAATGTAAAATATTCAATTGTGGTATTAACACGTATTTATATTTACTTTCATAATCTCACATTTTAACATTTCCTCTCTGCCACCACTCATACTATTCCTAGGTTATACATATTGCTTGAAATATCCCCCAAATAAGACATGATTCCTTCAATTTTGCATGATATATAGGATATATCTCTGTGTTGCTCTTGCTGTCTATCTCTCTATCATTCCTGATCTAGTTCACACTGAAATAATTACACAAAAAATTGCCAAAAAGTATTCAGTTTACTATCCATGATTGTACTTGGATAATTCACCTTGTGAGGATACAATTTATGTTTCCTCGACTTTATCCAGATCAACAGATTGGCAGTTTGCCCATTTATTAGCATTTTGAAGCTGATAAGTACGTCAAACCTTTTCTTCCATTTAGGAGTATTAAATGAAAGAGTAATAGCGCTGTTCTCATCAACACATAAAATCTAGCCCAATAATTTCACATCAAGAAGTGGCACAGATCATTCACAATGTAACAACTTAAATTAATTTTGATTAACTATCTCCTTATTTTGATTGGTCCTTATGAAGTCTCCCTGTCATCCCTATCATCCTTACTGACAGGATCATCAGTATAACTCATAGACCTGGAAGCCTTCAGCTCTAAGTTACTTTGATTTTTGCCAAATGCATGAAAAGCAGCCATGCTACCACATTCTTGATTGGTTTCTGCTGTGCTTAAATCTTTTATAAAGCATCTAGCTCTGGATTTACCTCAAATTTTCTTGATATATATTTTTCTCCTATTAGTGGTCTCAGTGTCTGAATAGCTTGAAACCAGAATTAAATGGATTATTGCCTGGCATTTGAGGTTCTTCATCTCCCTTTTATTCTTTCTGCTCCTAAACTGAAGCCATAGCCATAATTTATATTACGTCGTCAAAAATTATTACAGTCTTCTTGTTAATGGAACTAACTGTAGAATTGAAAAAAGTCATGAGTTTTGACAGGGTGTACTTATAAAGATTAAGAATATTGTACAGCAAAAGAATGAAAACCCAAAAAAGAAAGATCTAAGGAGGACAGGCGCATTGGTTCATGACTGTAATTCCAGCCCTTTGGGAAGCCCAACCAGGAGGAATCCTTGAGCCCAGGAGTTCAAGACCAGCCTGGGCAACACAGTGAGACCCCATCTCCTAAAAAAAAAATAATAAATAACAGATGGGCATGGTGGTACATGCCCATAGTTCCAGCTACTCAGGAGGTTGAGGTGGGAAGACTAGAAGGTTGAAGCTACACTGAGCCATGATCACGCCCCTGCACTCCAGCTTGGGCATTATAGTGAGAACCTATCTCAAGAAAAGAAAGAAGAAAGAAAGAAAGAGAGAAAGAGAGAGAGAGAGAGAGAAGGAGAGAGGGAGAGAGGGAGGGAGGGAGGGAGGCAGGGGAGGGAAGGGAAGGAAAGAAGGAAGGAAAGAAAGAGAAGAAAGTTCCAAGAATTCCAGGGGAACCTTGCAAGGACTTTCCTTAGCACAAGATGCACTTTATTTTCATAGTGAGAACCAGTAAGATATTGAGACACACCCTACTCAGGGAACAAGGTATATATTAACCTAATAGCCTATTATTCCCCACTGACCACATAGTGACACCCAGGCTACACAGTTACACAACTGTATAAGGCAGGTGCATACCATCAATCCACACCTTTACGATAAACAGTAAGTAAAAGCTAATTCAGAGTACTTTTGGGAGTGATTTTAGTTTAAAATATTATAAGTCACTAGCTGGTATATTTTATTTTTCTACTGGCCCAGAGTGTATACCAGAATTCCAAGTATCCCTTGAGATAAGAGTAGAATTACCACAGTGTAGCCACAAGTTAACTCTATCCTGGCATGCATGCCTTACACACAATTGTTGCAGTACAATTTTCAACAAGTCCATAGATTTATGAGGGCTTATGTTACATTTTGTTGGGTAGATAGCTTTGGCTTTATTTTTACCATTTATTTAACTCAGTGTTTGGCCTAGTACAAGGCACTTTTCACATGTTTTCTCTTTAAACTTTATCTGCCCTGTGCCTTCATTCTTCACTGTCTTAAACTATTGCCCTTGAATATCATTGTTGCTTTCTGAGCTTCTAATACGTACAGAGTAAATACCATTTATTGAGAGGATTAGTGAAATCTGCAAGATATTATGTTCTGCACTTTTTCTAATTTAGTTCCCTAAATTGTAAATATAAGGAGAGGGAGCTACTGTATGGTCTGGAAATAGGTGCATTGTAACAGAGATTTGCTAAAATATACTTTTATGCCAATTGGAAAGTAATTTATATTATGAAGATATAATGGCTAATGTAAATTATTCCATCAAATAAATATTTTCAGAAGTTTTAATGTTGTGGTTTCAGTAAACTAAAATGTAAATTTGGGAGGGTGCAATCAGTAATTCTGAAGTAACTCTTTAGTAGCAGACATTTGTTGTACCCTGGTGTCATAGACACTATCCTAACCACTTTTCAACTTATTGAATCAGCAACCATAATGGGTAAGTATTACTACTAATCTAATTTCCAAAAGAAGAGACTGAAGCACAGAGTGATTCTAGTATCTCACTCATGATTTCACAGGAATGAAGAAGTAGGACTGGGATGCAAACTAGACCATCCAGCCCTACTGTTTGCAGCCTGAACCACAAGCAAATGGACATTTTCCTTTCATGGAGGTCAGGACAGATGGAGGACATATGTGAATAAGTGATATATCAGACAACTGAGGTAAATAAAGAGGCCTTAAAATCGCTGTTTATTTAATTGCAGCTGGTTTTTATGTCATAATCAGGTTGTTGCTATTAATTTTCTCCAAAGTTAGTATTGTCAAACCTGATTATTTATTTATTTATCTTTTTTTTTTTTTTGAAAATACAAGAGTACAGCCTGATGTTTGGAACCTTAATCTCTGTGGTCAGTAGCTTAACTTTGTGATATTAAACTACACATGTACTTCAAAATCTTCTTTTGAACTTGAAGAATATGCAGAGATACCATGTTTACACCTTTTAAAAGATCTCCAGGCATGTCTAATTTGTCATCAATGATAAGATTGACTCATTTAAAGACTTTAATCCTAGACTTCCAATATGGAGTAGAGGTGGAACAATGCAAGGCAAAGATGCAAGCAATCATCATGCATCACCTTCTTCTTTTGAAAAAAAAAAAAACTATGAATATTGTGAAAAGTAAGTTTGAATTTGTTCTTAAGTAGATTTTCATTAAATAAAGCATTTGAACCCTACTATGTGAACTCAGAGGTATTTACTATGATTTTCAGATACCTTAAAATTTATTGATTTTTAAATATACTTAATAGCATTTTCAGAGACTTTAGTTTATGTTATTTTTAAACTTGAAATCGTTGAGATCCATAGTCTGAGTTTAGAGAGTGAACAATTGTTCATCAAACTTTCCATTTGCACAAAGATGTCAAAAAAAGTGAGTCAGTCAAATTTTTGGTTTTGCAGTGCATAAAAATATATGTCTACACTGTATTATAGACTATCAAGAATGCAATAACATTATATCTAAAAAATGAACATATCTTAATTTTAAAACACTATATTGCTTAAAAGAAGCTAAAGATTATCTTAGTTTTCAGCAAGTTGTAATCTTTTTGCTAGTGGAGGGTCTTGCCTCAATGTTGATGTCTACTGACTGATTAAGGTAGTGGCTGCTGAGGGTTTGAATGGCTGTGGCAGTTTAAAAAAAAATTGAGTTTGCTGCATTGATTGGCTCTTCTTTTCACAAAAAAATTATCTGTAGCATGCAATGTTGTTTGGTAGCATATTACCAATAGTAGAACTTCTTTCAAAATCAACATCAATCTTCTCAAACCCTGCCACTGCTTTATCAAATAATTTTATGTAATATTCTTAATCATTTTTGTCATTTCAACAATGTTTATGGCATCTTCACCTACAGTACATCTCATCTCAAGAAACTAATGTGTTTGCTCATCTGTAAGAAGCAACTACTCATCCTTTTAAGTTTTATCATGAGATTGCAGCAATTCAGCTATATCTTCGGGCTTTACTTCTAATTCTAGTTCTCTTGCTGTTTCTACCACACATTTAGTTACTTGCTCACTGAAGTCTTTAACCCCTTCAAGTCATCCATGAGGGTTGGAGTCAATTTCTTTTAAATTTCTGTTAATGTTGAAGGATGCCTGAACTTACCAATTTTATTCAAGATGTTGATGAAAATTCTAGTTAAATTAAGTTGGAAAAACAGACAGAATGGCAGAGATAAAAGAGAGAGAAAGAAAGACAGTTAAAATAACACCACCTCTATCTACAGATGATATAACCATATTTATAGTAAATATCTCTAAAGAATATACAAAAAATTAAAGTTAATCCTGGTAAATGAGTTCAACAAGGTTGCAGTGTACAAGATCATTGTACACAAATCATCTATCTGTGTGTGTATCTATCTATCTATCTATCTATCATACCAATGACAACCTGATATAAAATTAAGAAAATAATTATATTTATCTTAGCGTAAAATACGAAATATTTAGGAATGCATTTAACATGAGAAATGTAAGATTTTTACAATGAATGTCAGAAAACATCATTGAAATAAATTTTAAAAGATCTAAAATAAAGAAAATGTGTATGTACATTCAATAGAATATTATTTAGCCTTAAAAAAGAAAAATCCTCATGTTATATGCAACAACATGGATGAACTCTGAGGAAAATATGCTAAGTGATATTGAAAGACAAATACTATGAGATTCCATTTATATGGGTTATCGAAACAGTCAAACTTATAAAAGCCGAAAGAATAATGGTGGTTTCCAGGGTTTAGGGAGGGAAGGTAATGGGGAGTTGCTATTTAATGAGAGTAAAGTTTCAGCTATAAAAGTATGAAAGTCCTAGATATCTTCAAATGCTATACTCTATACTTAAATATATGTTAAGAGGTCAGATCTCATATTACCAGTTATTTATGAAAGTAAAAAATAAATGTAAAAAGAAATTTTAATTTTAATTAACAGTAATACAAACAATAGAAAACGATGCACAAATGTTCATTGATATCTGTAAATAAGGAATAAAGGTAACTAAAGATATGTAAGTCTACTACATTAAAAACAAATTTGAGGGGGACATTTGAAATAATTAAGTACATTTTATGAATTGAAAGACTCACACTTGTAAGTTTGTCAGTTATTCCCGCAAATAACTGGCAACCTTAGTGCAATAATATATCAAATAACAGCAAAATTGTACTGGAAACCCACTTCATGTAGAAAGAAAAACAAAGACTGAAAGTTAAGGGTTGAACAGATATTTTATAAAACCAAAGCAAAAAAGGAAGGGTAGGGATACTTATATCAGATAAATTAGACTATAAATCAAAGGCTGTAAATAAAAGATAAGGAATGCCACTATATAAAGTTGTCAATTTCAGCAAGCGAATATAATAATTATAAATATCTATGCACCCAACACCAGAGCTCCCAACTGTATAAAACAAATATTAATGGATCTAAAGAGAGATAATGAGATAGACTGCAATGCAATGGTAATAGGAGACTTTAACACCCCACTTTCAATAATAGGCATTATCCAGACAGAAAATCAACAACAACAACAAAAACAAAACCTGTAGATTTAAACTATATATGATATCTAATATGTCTTACTGACATTTACAGAACATTGTACCCAACTGCTGCATAATACACATTCTTTAAATGAGTACATGGAGCATTCTCCAAAATAGACTGTAACATTTCCCACAAAACAAGTCTATATAAATGCTCAAAAATATGGGTGATGTCCTTCATGTTCTCTGAACATATTGGCATAAAATTAGAATCAATAACAAGAGGAGCCTCAAAAAATACACAAACACATTGAAATTAAACAGAATGTTTCTGAGTGACCAATGGGTCAATGAAGATATTAAGAATGAAATTTTAAAAATTCTTGAAACAAAAAGAAAATGGAAATATAACACATAAAAATCTATGAAATAAGGTAAAAGAAGTACTAAGAAGAATTTTATAGCAATAAATGACTATAACAAAGAAGTAGAAAGACTTCAAATAAACAAATTGAGACTAAAATACAATATAGAATGTCGACTAAAAAAGTTAGATCTTTGACTAGACAAATAAAATCAAGAAACCTTTAGCTAGACTATTTAAGAATAAAGAGAGACGAACAAATACCATGTAATTACTGCAATAGAAACAAAAAAAAGGATGAAATTCAACATTTCTTTGTGATTAAAATGCTTATCAAAATGGGTATGAGAAAAACATATCTCAAAATAATAAAGATCATACGTTACAAGCCCATGGATGACATTATACTGAACAGGGAAAAATTGAAGGCCTTTACTTTGTAGATTGGAACAAGATAATGGTGCCAACTTTTACCAGTATTATTCAACATACTGCTGGAAATTCTGGCTAGATTAATTAGGCAAGAGAAAGAAAGAAATGGCATCCAAATTGGAAATAAAATACTCATATTAGCCTTGTTTGCAGATGACATAATCTTATACCTAGAAAATCCTAAAGATTCCACCAATGACTGCTAAAAGTGATATATGTAGTAAATTTGTGAGACACAAATTTTGAAGAATACAAAATTAGCATATAATAATAAGTAGAAATTATATACACCAACAGCAAACCATCTGAAAAAGAAATTGAGAAAGAAATCTTGTTTACAATTACTCCAAAAAATATAAAATACCTAGATTAATTCCTAGACTAATCTAACCAGAGAAGTAAAGATCCATAGAAGGAAAATTAAAAAAATGTGATAAAAAAAAATAAAGAGGGTACAAATAACTGAAAAATATTGCATGTTCAAGGATGAGAATAATTAAGATTGCAAAAAAGACAATACTGCCCAAAGCAACTTCCAGATTTAATGCAATCCTTTTCCAAACACCACTGACATTCTCCATAGAAATAGAAAAATAAATTCTGAAATTCATATGGAACCACAAAAGATCCCAAATAGCCAAAGCAGTTCTGAGCAAAAGAAAAAACTTGGAGGCCTCATATACCTGACTTCGAAATTTACTACAAAGTTATAGTAAGTAAAAAGCATAGTATTGGCATAAAAATAAATATATAAACCAATGGAACAGAATATAGAACCGAGATATAAATGCACACATTTACTACCAAGTCATCTTCCAAAAAGCTGCCAAGAATATATAATGGGAAAATGACAGTATTTTTAATAAATGGTATTTGGAAAACTGGATAACTATATGCAGAAGAATGAAACAGGACCCCTATCTTTCACCATACAAAAAAAAAAATCAAATCAAAATGGATTGAAGACTTAAACCTAACATCTGAAACTATGGAACTATAATGTGAAAAGAAAACAGTGGGGACATGCTCTAGGAGACTGGCCTAGGCAGATTTTGTGTGTGTGTGTGTGTGTTTGTGTGTGTGTGTGTAACATCTCAAAACACAGGCAACCAAAGCAAAAATAAATTGGGATTTTATGAAGCTAGAAAGCTTTGGAACAACAAAGGAAACAATCCAAAAAGTGAAGAGACAATTCACAAGATGGGAGAAAATATTTCTAAACTACTCATTTGACAAGGAATTAATAACCAGCATAGATAAGGAACTCCAACAACTCAATAGCAAAATAATAATAATAATCCAATTAAAAATTGGAAAAAATACCTAAGCAGGCAGTCCTCAAAAGAAGACATACTGATGGCCAGCA